TGGTGGTCGTGAGCATTTTTTGCCCTGTGCTTCTTGGCATTTGAGTGCCAATTTTGGTGAGTTGTGTATGTCTTCTACTTTTCATGACGCTCATTTTCATTCTTCATTCCCCCACCTTTTTTTTTCCAGGTTTTTTTGCCTTTTCTTTGCCCCGGCTTCGGTTTTACGGTTCAATCCTATTAAGAAGAGTTGTACAATCATCATCACAATTTCAGAACATTCTTTTCTTTCTCCTTCTCATTGTTAGCTCCCCATTCCCACAGGCCCTTCTCCCCCTGCCATGGTCTAGGTAATTACTTTTAAATCAGTTACTGTCTCTGTAAAATTTCCTATGCTGTGTTTCTTATACAGAAAGTCATGCAAAACACAGGCTATAAATAAAGTCAAGAAAACCCCAAAGGAGGACAAAACAGAGAAAGACCTCAAACAAAAGAAAGCAGAAAATATTAAAAAACTGAAGCAACTTTAGACGTCATCAGAAGAAAGGTCAAGTGATAAGTTTCAACAACGTGGTTTGGGAGAATCTGCAGAAAGAGGGAAAGGCCAATGTCAAGTGGGGTCCCCGGGGGATTAGGAACAACTCAGTGCGGAGCTCTAGAATGCCCGTGGATGATGAATCACTGCTACGCTTGTAATGCCTTGATCACCCTCCCCAAACCCCCTGCCTTCAGGTCCACTCCGCCTCCTCCATGCGGGGGCCGTCAAGGAGACTCCAACGTCTGGTGACCCTTCTAGTGACAGAGGCACCTGCTCCTGGGGGTTTCTCTGGCTGGGAAACTTTAGGGTAGCAGACACCCTTACATCATGATCCAGTAGAGGGACTGGTGCTTTTACATGAAAACCCCCTGCCTTCCAGACAATTACAGCTTACAGCCACCCTGTCTATTTCAGACCTCCAAGGCTGAAAAGAAGCCGTGGTGGGGCTCGCGGGTAAGCCCTGGGAAGGTGGGAGGGGTGTTCCTGAAGGACCGCAGGTGCCTGGGTCACTGGGCCAGTAGCGTCTCATGTTGCAAACCCCGACGGAGAGCTGTTGGAGCATGGTGTCCACGGCCCGGTGCAGCAGGCTCCAAGTGTCCACCGACAGGCGACTATCGGGCAGAGGTCAGGGGCCTGGGGCCAGGTCCCGGTGCTGCCCCTGGCCCGCCCACGCCACCCCCCCGCCACCCACGCCCTCACAGGGGCACATCACTGCTGGTCACCCTGAGCGCCTCGCAACCGCCCTGCAGCCCAGCTCAGGCAGGAGGAGCAGGGTCCTGCGGACGAGGTCAGCCTCTGGGAAGGACGGGACCGGCAAGGTCAGGAAGCTGGCAGGCTGTCAAGGCCCCAGCGGCTGCCCGGCACGGCCCCCTCCCCTGCCCTCCACCCCCCCTCCCCCAGGCCGCCGGCCCAGAGAAAAGGTACAGTACGTGCGGTTCGTCCCTGGATGGTGCTGCCCCTGGACCCCCCTGCCCACAGGGCGCTGGGCCCTTGCGGCCCCCACCAACCCCACCTTCATCCTGGGAATCCATAGGACAGTCCGTCCTCTCCTCGGCTGCCCCACCCCCCTCCCCCAGCACTGGGGGCCTGGACAAGCTCAGCCAGCCAACGGCCAGGGCGCCACCATCGCGCCTGCGCACACCGACCAGCCGAACAGCCGCGAGTTCCAGGGCACATGGCCGTTTCCTCGCCCGCCCCGGTTTGAGGCGGTTCCAGAAGCCCCGTCCTTGAGAGGGTCCCGTAACTGCAGTGCGCCTGCACAAAGAGAACCTCCTGAGAAAGCGCGCACATTGTGCCCCCGCGACCCTCAAAGACTGTGCCCAGTGTGCCCCAGCCTATGGTGGGGGCAAGGCGCTTCCGGGCCGGGCCCTTGTACCCCGCAGGGGTCCCAAGCTTTCACACAGGGGTAGGGTCAGGGAGGGCGGGCATCCCTTCCTGGGGACACGATAACTTTGCTCTGTGAGCCACTGAATTGATCAAGCTCTTGAGCCTCAAACACTGGCATTTGGGGACAGATGTGTGAGACCCCATGCAAAGGGGTCCTGGATCACGTGTGTCAGCCTGGATGGGCCTTCCATGGGCCGTGTCTCTCAATCCAAGTAGAAGCTGTGAATGGCACTACACCCAAATGACCCTTGCCCTGTGAGCATTGGTTGTGCATCTTAAGCAGGCGTGGTGGCTGTACTGTTAGAAAGAGCTCAAGGGGACAGCTGATGACCTATGCAAGACCCAAGCCGACTGGATGGTGGCCCATGTGGAGTGACAACAGTTAGAACGCATGGCATGCCAGGGCCGCACTCTTAAACAGATGGCTCAGTATGACCCTACAGGAAGTTTGTCTGCCTGCTGAGCTCGGCCTCTGTTCTGAAATGGGACCCTGATCCTTAGCGTTATATGGGGGCACAGCCACGGCATGCTCTGACACAGCCCAAGGGTCAATTCAACCACTGGCCAGAAAGTACAGGAGCTTAGCACAGAGGTGGGGATTCCATACACAAGAAAAACCAAACCAAATGCTGTAACCCTGCCAACCAAGAGGGGAAGCGGAAGACCCACTGTCAACCTAGGGCCAGAAGACCAACCTCCTCCTCATCTTCCTCCTCTCCCCTGAATGCCACCCTCTTCCCCCAGGCCTTCCTATCTCTCCTGGTACCAAACCCCTCCTCAATCTGCACCCCTTCTTATGAGACCCCCTTTTCCATCCAGTTACCATGCGTTCTACCAAATGAATTCCCTTCTGTAGTCACACCACGTGAAGAGGGGTAAAACTAGGCCTTCAACTGCGTTCAAGCTCACCTCACAACTCCAAAGGGCCCCCCAAAATTAGTCTTCCCTCAGCAAGTATAAGGGAGGCTGGAAACAAGGCAGATCAGGAATGAGAGAGCCCGAAGCTCTGCACCACACCAAGTATTGCCCTGAGCCTGTGATGCCCAGAGAACTAGGACTGTCCTCTGTGTCTCCAGGGGAGGCTTTGCAGAAGTGATCAGCTACACGGAGACCAGAACTTAAAGGCACAGCACCTCCTGGCTTGAGAGTCTACATGAGATATTACATGTCCTGAGAGCAGAAGGCTGTCTTGCCTTGGTTTTTGTCTTCATAGGAGTGGACTGATGCAGCATTTGTCCTTAGAGAATAACTACTTTCACTTGGCATAGTGGTTTCCAGGTCCTTCCATGTCATGAGGTGTTTCATGATGTCATCGCTGTTTTCTTGAGATGCATAGGATTCCGTTATGCATCTGTACCAGCGTTTCTTTATGCATACTTCTACCGATGTGGATTTGGGCCGTTTCGAGCTCCTTGCTATTGTGAACTGTGCTGTGATGGATAAGAGAGAGCATACTTCTGTCGGTTGGTGGTGCTGGTCTCATCCCGTTTGGCTGGCAGCCCAGGGGCGATACTGCTGGGCGGTTTCTGATTTCTATTCCCGGTTGTTTTCAGCAGTGCCATATCACTTTCTTAAATGGCTACACATGCTTACCAGCCCACCAGCCATGTGTAAGATTTCAGTGCCTCCACACCCTCCCAGACGTTTGTCTGTCCATTTGTTTGTTTGTGTAATTGGGCTATCTTTCTCGTTGTTTTCATGTACAATTCCCAGATGGCTCAGGATCATGAACATTTGGTCTGTGCTTCCTGGTCATCTTAATGTTATTTTTGGTGAGCTGTCTGTGTCTTTTACCTACTTTTGGATTGGATTATTTGTTTTAATAATGCTCCTTTTAATGCATCTATTCCACAAACTCTTTTTTAAAATGTTTTTTGGCCTATATTTCACACATCATACAATCTACCAGTTCAATCATATTGGGAAGATTTGTGCAATCATCAGCACAATGGTACGGGCCCAGCCCAGAGAAAGGAGAAAGTCAAGCTCTGCCTACAAGGTACTAGAGGCCCCAAGCTCGCCCAGCAAGCCTGCTACATAGTGCTCTTCAGCAATCTCCTCCGGGTACCAACACGCCTTCCAACACAAGTGTCGATGCACCCAACAACCCCAGCAGGGTTTCCAGACTGAAGGACCTCAGCTCTTTTTCTGGGTCAGCAAGAGCGCCATAGTCACATGCTCCAGAGGCCAGCAAGAGCCTTGAGCTGTGCTGACCCCTGCTTAAGGCTTGTAAAGGGGCCAGTCAGCTCCCGTGCCCTGTGAGTAAGCATCCTAAGCCAGTGAGCTCTCTTGCCCCCAAGCAGCAAGCTCACAGCAGTTGCCCAACTCCATGAACGGGAAGCCCATCACACCACCTGAGGTCCCGTGGGTGTCTGAGTTCTGGACCCCCTCACCTGTTACAGCTTTACAGGTCATAATCATTGGAGATGGGCTCAAAGAGAAAGCCCACCTCCTAAAACGATAGTAAATAGACTGCTCCTGATGAACGTGAGCTACGCTCTGCAGGATGGCAGCTGACAAAGCCTAACACCTCCGTGCTGCTGCCTGCGTTGGATGCCCCCTATTTGCATGGCCACCGACCAATCCTCTCTGCACTACACTGGCCAGTCCAATAGCACGTAGCCTTGTCTACCTACATGTGTTTCCTTAGGAGCCGCACCTGCTCATAGGTGTCTGCTCCAGACTGCGCCTCTGGGCCCAACCACTGAGCTTCTCCAGGTCACTGCCAGGGAGTCTAGTCTGACTGCTGCTGCCCCTACGGGACAACGTGGAACTGCCCCTGTGGGTTTCAGAGTGTGCAGCAAATCGCTACCGGAGGACAAAACCTCCTCTCTGCCCCATGTGTGGCAGGTGGTTTCCACCTGCCGCCCTTGCTACTGGCAGCCCAACGTGTAAGCCCCTGTGCCATTTAAAAGGATCAAGGGGCCATGGTTGTAGGGGTGCAGTATCACAGTCTGAGGGTCGGAGGGGAGAAAGTTATCTGAAGCTGTTTACTTTGTGAACCGTTTGCCCGAGGAGAAAAGCACAGAGCAACATACAGCGAGTCATTTCACCCAAGGGGGTCAACTTCTGTTTTTCCAGAGGGAGGCGCCCATGACTTTTAGGTCTTAAGGGGGTACAAACTGACCGGTAGGTTCTAGCAGCGTGGGGGACGTGTGATGCCTCCTGGACTCCATGGGTGGAGCACGGGGACGCACTCGGAGCTTGCTGAGGTCGGGGTCAAGGTCGCCCAGTTTCACAGGAGCAACTGTTGCCTTTTGGATTGCACTGTCCGGCCACCACCTTCCCGGTGGGCTGGGCTCCGAGAGGGGCGGTTCCCCAGACAGTCTCGTGCTCTGGGCCTCGTGGGGTGGGTTTGCGCAGGCGCACTGGCGGCCCCTCCCACGCTGGGAGGCGGAGCGTGGTGAGCGCACATTCCCTGGGCTGCGGTGGTGGTGGCAGATGCAGCAACAGCAGCAGCAGCAGCAGAGACAAAGGACCGGCCACATGGACTCTGAGGGCGAGGGTGCTGGCGGAGGGAGCAAAAAGGGCTCGGTGGAGGACGTCCAGGGTTCTTCCGGTGACCCCGAGAGCGGGGATGTGGCCGAGGGTGCAGTGGCTCAGACCCAGGGTGCCCGGCCTGCCCCGGTGCCCGGTGGTGACCAGGCTCCAGGCGCGGCACCTAGAAGAAGCCTTTTGATTGAGTTGTATCCTTTCTCTGGGCTTGGCGTCCTGGGGGGCGGCAGGGTGGGAAGAGGGGGCTTGGGGCGGTCACATCCAGCCTCATAGCCCCTTAACATCGAGCCAGCATCCTGACCGTGCCTTTCCAGTCCTGCACAGAGGCCGACATCGCCCTCAGGACCCTCTTCCCAGTGGTCGAGCGCCTCCTTGGGATGGTTGGCAAAGAGATCTCGGTGAACGGCAGCAACCTGATTGTGTCAGTTTTCTGGGGGGCGGTAGCACTGGGTCGTGGGGGGTGGGGCAGTGAGGCGGGCCCTAAGCCCTGTCCACTCCCCTGTAGTCACCTGACTGCTGATGACTCCAGCAGCCTGCAGATGGCCATCGCCACCATGGTCAGCCATGTCAAGCTGCTGTTACGGGCTGGGTGATACTACTGGCCCTACTTTCTCAGGAACCTGCGGTCCAGCAAGGATGGCGGAGCCTCTGTGTGCTGTCCCCCGCTGTTCTGTCCCTCTGAGGCTGGAGGAGGAAGAGTGGGTCGTAACTATCTGTCCAGCACAAAATAAAACTGAGCATCTTCTATTATGAGTCAGGCTCCTTTCTATATTGCTGCGCATCCAGGGGTCACAGCCCTGGAACCTTGGGTCAGAGGGTGGGCCTGGGGCTCAAATATACCTGCGGGTAAGCCGGACCGAAGACCACAGGGGACATGGACGACCACGACACCGACACCCAGGTGTTCCCCTCCTTTCAGCATTCCCTGAACAGTCTTCCCGAGTCGGCATCATCTAGAAGTAAGGGTTTGGCTGGTCTTGGTCAGCATTCAAGGAAACCCACACTTTGGAATATTTGTTCTTTTACACCTACAGTCCCATTCAAGGAGCCCAGGTGTAGGGGTGGCTTAGGACCCGGCTGCTGATTACAAGGTGTGTGGTGCCATTTACCAAGCAGCCTCTCTGCAGGAGGAAGATGAGGCTGCCTTCCCCAGGCATGATGAACAGCCTAGGAACCTGAGACAGGCTTCTGCCCTCAGGTCATGTAATTTCAAATGCAGTCTCCCAAGCAAGGCGGTGGTGTGCCTGTTTATTGCACATGATCCCTGCATCACCCCTTTATTGGTACATCTTAAAGGACACATGCACAGAGGAGGACTCACCTCAGCTGGGGTCAGTGGCTCCTGGTAGGGGGAGTGCGAGAATACTAGTCA